AAATAAATCAACAAAAATCCCAGGAATAAAAATATCCGGAGACCAAACCAAAGCTCAACAAGAATATTTTGAACGTATTAAAGCCAAACTTGAAGAGTTCATAAGAAATGGTGATGATTCAAAAACAATAAAATTTATTAACAATATACCAACCATAGTAAACAAAAATATTACTTCACAACAAAAAACCGATAAAGGACCCTTATATCCACCTCTTTAGTGATATCATATACATGAACGCCCAAAGTTTGCTGCATAAAATTGACCAAATTCAAATAAGCATTTTATATTACTCTCCAAAAATAATTCTAGTTAGTGAGGCTAGAATAACTAGTGAAATTGAAGATTCAGAGATCAAACTGGATGGTTATAGTCACATTCGATGTGATTCTACAAATCGGCAAACCGGGGGTGTTGTGATTTATGTGAAGGATGATATACAGTGTTCAACAAAGAAGACTTACATTTTAAAAGACAATTACTGGTGTAAGGTCATAAGAGTAAATTTTGGTGTGTGTCAATGGTTGTCTTTATCATTCTCCATCTAGCTCGGATTCTATATTCATAGAAAACCTGGAAAATATCTTTGGTGATATCTTTGTCAATGATAAGCGTTGCATTCTTGTAGGAGATTTTAATTTAGATTTTTTCAATAACAGTTTTTATATGAAAAAAATCAAATCTATGTTTTTGCAATATGGAATTGATCAACTAGTACTGGATACTACCAGAATTACTAATAACATTGAAACTCTAATTGATTATGTACTAACTAATAATAATTGCGCAAACTGTTTTGTCCATCCTACTCCAAAAATAAGTGACCATTCATTGATATATATTTCTCTCAAAAATAACAAACGAACTGAAAGCACTTCTATCGAAAATTATAGAAACCTTAGTGAGCGAAATTTGGATAAAATAAAACTAGATTTTATTTCATGTGATTGGGATTTGAATTCAACCGATGTTAGTGTCATATATTTCAATTTACTTAATAACTGTCAATCAGTTATCGATGAAGTTGCACCAATTCAAGTCTGTCACCATAAAAGTAACATTCCATGGTTTGACAACGAAATTCATAATAAAATAAAACAACGTGATCAGATATAT